GGCTAACAGCGTCATCACACTGATTCACACTGAGATTGTAGTCCATTAAGAGGCAGATGTGGGGGAGAGGTTAGTGGATAAAGTGTTGGGTTTGGAATCAGGAAGACCTCAGTTCAAGTCCAGCCTAGACACTTTGTAGCTGTGTGGCCCTGGGCAAGTCACTTCTCTTTGCCTCATTTTTTCCCATCTATAAAACAGGAATAGCATATGCCTTGCAGGATTGTTGTGAGGATTACATTAGACAATTTGTAAAAAGCTTAGCACAGAGCCTGGCACAAAGTAGGAGCCATATAAATGCTTATTCCTTTCCCTTCCCATCTCCTCACCACCTCCCAAACAGGAATGAATTTTTTTTCACAGAAAATATTGTTTAGCTAAACCTTCCATTTAGAACATCCCATTGTTTTTGAAGTTGGTATTTTGAATGCAAATATAATATTTTATGCCTCTTGAATTTAATCTTATTCAATTCAGCCCAGTTTTAGTCCAATGGTATCAGACTCAAATAGAAATCAATCCCTATGGGCAGGATAGTGACTTAGAAAACCACAAATTAATATTATCTATATTGAACTGTATTTGTATTTATTTTGTTAAACATTTCCCAATTACATTTTAATCTGGTTCTAGTCCACTCAGGAGTTTTGTGGGCTGTAGCGAGCTCACCATCTCTGTTCCAGTCTATCTAGACCTCTTTGGACCTAGACTCTCATACGTGTTTGTAGGGTCCTGATTGGGGAAAAAGGCCATAAAACACAGTAACAAGTGAAAGCCATAAGTGAAAACTCAGTGAAAGATGGAAGCCCAGACATGGTTACTTGTTTAAAATCATAATTCAGATACTGAGTCATAACTGAGATAATGTGACCAGGCAATAACCGTCATATGGACACAGTGACCAATTCATGACCAGCACATGTGACCAATACACAAACTTGTGTTTGGGCATTTGCCCAATAACATTGGCTTAATGCCCAAGCTTAGAAATGAGCTCATTACTAAGCAGAAACCCAAAATATCCACCAAGCTATGTGCTTTATAACTCCACCTCCTTTTGTCTGATTTTTGTAATTACTACTGGGCTTTCCTGGGGGTCTTTTGATCCATTATTGAGACTGTTTTCATCTGGCAGCTGCTCCAGACTGGCCCCTATTGTGAGTAATCCATTATGATTATTAAAACTATTTATTAAACTCTACATTTAATCATAATGGACACCTTGGCCTCTTTTTCCAGTAACAAATTAGCTCTTCTGATTGGGGAAGCTGAGAATATTCCAGTGCACAGAGATATTGGCCCTTGGAAAGGTACAGAGCTCCCCAGCCAGGGGAACTGGCTATTCATTCACACTTCATGTTGTCTGCAAGTTGAATAAACATGCCATCTCTGCCTGCATCCAAGTCTTTGATTAAAATGTTGAATAACATAAGGCTAAATACAGATCCCTGGAGCACATTCCTACAGACCTTTCTCCAAGTTGACATTGACTTATTAATAACTACTCTGTGTCTAGTCATTCAACCCAAACCCTAATTTACCTATCACCTAGCTATATTTCTTCATCTTATATATGGGCATAGAATGAGAAACCTTGCCAAATGCTTTGCTGAGATTTAAGTATAGCACATCTCCCCAGCCCCCACCCCTTTCCCATCTTATTACTTCAGAATAAAAAGAACTGAGATTAGTCTGACACAGCTTGTCCTTGATAAATTCATGCTACCACTCTGAGATCACTGCTTCCTTAGGTACTCACAAACCAGCACCTTAATAATGTGTCCTAGAACTTTTCCAGGAAGAGAAGTTAAACTCCCTCAGCACTGAAGCTTGTAGACTCTGTCCTTTCCCATTTCTAAAAAAAAAACTGGGACAATATCTACCCATTTCTAGTCTTGTAGTAGCTGTCCCATTTTCCAAGAGATGTCTAAGTCTACCAAAAGTGGCTCAGCAATCATGTGTCAGTACTCTTTAGGCTGCACTTTGTGCCTAGTGACTTGAACTCACTGATCCTGTCTCATTTACCTTGTATTTCCACTACCCCCTTACCATTTTTGTTCTATTCTTTCCACTGATCACTCTCTTTAGGAGGGAAAACAGAAACGAAATAAGAGTTAAGTAGGTCAGTTGTCTGGTCATTATATCCCTCTTGAACAGTAGCCCCATTCTTTTTTTGATCTTCTTTTTATAACCAACATAGATAAAAAATCCCTTTGGCTGTCCACAGCATCAACCACCACCTCCACTCATTCTGGGATGCAGTGCTCCTGAAACAATTCTTACAAGACTGGGGTATTCTTTGGTATTCCTCCTCCATGTTCTTTATAGCACTTTTTGAAATGTGGATTTGTTCCTGAGTTCCCTGTGTCTACATGATGGACTCTTAAGGTAGTTTCTCTTTTTCTTTCTCATCCAAATTATTTCTGTTTATGTCTTTAGAATTTCATTCTTGAGGGCCTCCCATTACTTGGGTCAGCTACCTCTTAAAAATATTAAACCATTTAATCTCTCTACCTCCTCTGAATCCTTTGATGTATGCTCTCCTCAAATCTAGGTGACATATCAGATTATGCAGTTTTCCTTTCTTCTATATCATGACTTCTATGATAGGTTCCCCAATATGGCCAGAATCAAGTCCAAAATAGCAGTTCATTTTTTTAATTCTTTCACCTTTTGAAGGATGAAATCATCATTAAAGTATGTCACAAGTTGACTAGCTACTGATTTTGGCAGAAGGAGAGTGTGTGGCAGTAGATATCCAGATAATTCGGCTCCTCCTCCGTACACTGCAATGCTTTCATAGCAGGTTTGTGATGTTTCCCAAATTCCCCATCTAATTCTTCCTTTTTGTCCTGATGGTTTACAGTACACTCCTAACAATAATATTGATTCTTTTTCCAGGTCTTTTGATCCTCACCCAAAGGCTCTCCACCATTTTTTCCCCTCAAGTTCTTGATTTCTTTGCACGAGTAAAAAATTTTAATAGAAAATTAACTCCACCCTTACATGAACTGAAGTTAAATGAAGTGAGCAGAACCAGGAGGATGTTGTACACAGTAACAGCAGTATTGTATAATGAGGAACTATGAATGACTTATTCTCAGAAATACAATGATCCAAGACAATCTCAAAAAGTTCATGATGAAACGTTATCTATCTTCAGAGAAAAAACTGATATTGTCTGAATACAGACTGAAGCATGCTATTTTTCCTTCCTTCCTCCCTTCCTTCCTTCCTTCCTTCCTTCCTTCCTTCCTTCCGGTTGAAGTCTCTTTGTACAAAATGACTAATATGGAAATGTTTTACATGATTGCACATGTATAACCTATATGGGATTGCTTACTGTCTCAGGGAGGGGGGAGAGGAAAGAGGGAGAGAAGGCTAGAATTTGAAACTCAAAACCTTAAAAAAATTATTTTAACATGTAATTGGGGGAAATATTATTTAAAAAAGTGAAATATATATTATATATATGTTTGGTTCCTTTTTTCAAAAAATTCAACATTTTATTTTCTGATTCGCATTCTCTCCCTTCCACCTTCCCTCCTCACTCCCACTGAGAAAGCAAACCCCCTGCCTGACCAACCCCCAGTGGCCATGTAAAACCAGCTTTCCTGAATCGGTCCTCTGAGTCTACCACCTCTCTATCTGGAGGTCTGTATCAAGTTGCGTTGCGAGTCCTGTGGAACTGTAGTTTGTCACTGTGATGATCAGAGTTCTTAAGTCTTTCAAAGTTGTTTGTCTTTATAATATTGGTGTTACTGTATAAAGTGTTCTCCTGGTTCTGTTCACTTTACTCTGCATCAGTTCATACAAGTCTTTCCAGACTTTCTCAGAAACCATCCCCTTCATTTCTTACAGCATAGCAGTATTTTATCACATTAATATCCCTACTACAACACATTCAGCCATTCCCTAATTGATGGATTCATTTTCATTTCCCACTTTTTTGCCACCATGTAAAGAACAGCCATAGATATTTTTTATTGCTTCTTGGAGAGTCTTCTGTGAATTATTGGCCTCCTGCTTTACTATGTTTCTTTTAATGCTGTACCTTCTTGTTCCCTCTCTGTAGTATTAGACTTGTCAGAATTATGTGGCTATTTTCTCTCTCCTCCTTCCTTTATCGTTTAAAATTCTCTTGAGGCGATTTACAAGAAACAAGAAAGTGTTTTCGCTGGCATTTGTCTGCATATATTTGATCCCTTTTTAAGTGTCTATTATCGCTATGTTTTAAGCTGTGGTCTAGAAATCCAAATCTTGTTCTCAGGCACCATATTTTGAATCCACTGTTCATTTCCCAATTCTGCCTTTTTTTCCCCCTCTTTGGAATCCTGTACCTGTAATAGCAAACACTAATGAAAACATCATCTGTGCTCCTAAGGGCTTAGTTTTTTGCCCACAACTCCATAATCCTTAAAAATATTTTTTTCAGATTCTACTGCTAGTATCATTTGTCTTCACATGAATCACCAGAAATGGGTAGCAGTCATCATGTTTGACAGTTCTTGGGAGAGACTTCATCACATCCAGACATCTGCCCCAGGGAGAAAGCAAATATCTCTGTTACTTATGTTGGGTGAACAAATACTCTCAGCAGGGAGTCACCAAACACTGATGTTTCTTTTTCTTCTGGCCATTATTGGACTTCTCACATTATGGTACCTGTGGATCCACATCCTTATTCTGTGAAACACAAGAAACTATTTCCTATGGAGAGGAGCCCAGCTACCCTTGCCACAAAAAGACCCTCATGCTAGAGAATGTTCAATGTTTCTTTTGCAGGGAGGCAAACTGCCTATTTGTGGGACGTGAAGCTGTCCAATTGTTTCATGGAGGAGGCTGCAGTATTTTGGGCTTTGAATAAACAGAGGGACTTCAAATAGATAGAGATGATAGGATATGGGTGGAAGGTGGGAGTAGGAATCAATTCATACAAGGTTTATCAGTGGTATCATCTTTGCAAAATGTGGAAGACAGAACATGATAAGTATTACACATACCTCAAAAACTTTTTCTTGAGAAACTTTTTCATTAGCAATTAACTCCCTAAAAGTTGAGATTCTTTCCTTATGTTTCAGTAGCTAGAAAGAATTAGAGACAATTTATATTATAAAAGGAAGAGAAAATCATTCTGTGTTCTTATTATCTTTACTGTATGTTACTGGGCTTCACAGGAAGAATCTTTAAGTATATATGATTAAAGATAACATAGGTGTCTCCATAAAGATGAGGTTATATTTTCAAAGTAAATTCATGAGAGGTCAATAAGGCTCTCTGAATATAAAAACAGGCTTAATTCAAAATACTACCTTCAATATTTGGAATCCCAATTAATTCTAATGGCACAAAGTTTTATCAAAATTAAATCGATACATGCAAATTTACTTTTATTATCTCACTAGTCTTACCCTGAACTAGGCTTCTCTCTCCATTTAGATCAACCTGAGAAGGATGATTTCTTTGAATTCTCACGTTTTCTCCTCCAAGCCCTTTCTTTCTATATTTCAGTTACAAGACACAAAAAACCTCCCCAGAATTCCAGGCGTATGTCTTCTCTTCTCCTCAATTCAGATCATTTGTTTTTCTTTGGTGAAGAGCCCAATTATCATGAGTCTAAGTATCCAACTTGAATATGTAGCCTCATTTCTTTAACGAGGTAGCATTGTTGTCTACTACATTCCTTGCTGTGTATGTACTTCAGATTCAAAATGAAGCATCTCTCAGATCTACCGCTCTGTTCTTATAATGCTCATTTTGAACACCATACTTCTGCCTCCTCTATTTCAATTGACTCTGCCCTCAAATCTATGCTTTTGGCAATTGAAGAATCCTTGAGTGTCAAACCAAGAACAGAAACAAACTCTAGTAGATGAACTTACCTTATACTTGTAAGAAGTAGGTTAAATATTACTTAAATGAATGGGTTTTTGAATCAACAAATACTCTTGTGAGGGGCCTAGGAAAGCTCTGGAGTTCTAAGATTACTTCTTTGAAAACAAAAATTATTTAAATATTAGTGTCTCTTTATGCCTTTATGTTGCTTTATTCTTTGACTAAACAAGAGGGTTATTATTTCTAAGAGTAAGAAAAAGTCACCATACCTCTTTTTCCAAACTTTTTTTCTTAGAGTTGAAATGCTTCATTTTTTCATAAACATTCTCACTGTCCTGCAAATGTTCATTATCAGGACTATCTGTATCCTGAGAAGAATAACAAGATTAAAACTGGAGAAACTAGACCAACTAGAGTTTTCAATAAAAACCAACTTCAGCTACTTATCCTAAAGCATCTCAAAAAGTATTATGTGGAAGGATTTCATATAGCTTTATATTTATAACCTAGTCCTCAGAAGGAAGTAGAGGCTCCCCAACAGGGAGATGCATGGTGAACGTAAGCAGTCTGCAATGCATTACAAGTAAGAAGTGGGGTAAAGGATGTCACTGAAGAATGATGAAGAATGCAAGATAAAAAAAAAAAAGAGGATGGGTTAGTCACAAGCAAAGACAGCTAGGTGGTATAATGACAGGGAGTGGCATTATATGGCCTCTGTATGAATGCCAGGCCTGGAATCAGGAATCAGGAAAACTCATCTTCCTGAGTTCAAATCTGGCCTCAGACACTTACTAGCTGTGTGACCCTGGGCAAGTCACTTAACCCAGTTTGCCTCAGTTTCCTCATCTGTAAAATGAGCTGGAGAAGGAAATGACAAACCACTCCAGTATCTTTGCCAAGAAAACCCTAAATGGGGTCATGAAGAGTTGGACAGGACTGAGAAACAACTGAACAATAAAAAGTCACATGCAATAGATGGTGATAACCAATGGATAGCCTGTGTGCTATACTGGTGTCTTTATGATGTCTAGAGACCACGCAAGTATACAATGAATAGATCCCCTAAGGTGAACTTACAGATAGGATGGGAAGTCACACAGGATAAGAAGTTATAGATTTGGTGGTAATCTATATCATTAGATGGAAGATCCACATCAATGAGATCACAGACCCATTGGAGTACTAAAGGTGGTAGGACAGTATAATTTCTGGGACCCTAATATCCATCAATAACTACACACCCAATATTTTTTATTACTCCCTATACAAAGCAAAGGGGTAGTTAGGTGGACTAGTGGATAGAGTGCCAGCCCTGGAGTCAGGAAGACTTCCTGAATTCAAATCTGGCCTCAGACACTTACTAGCTGTGTCACTCTGGGCAAGTCACTTAACCCTAGTTGTCTGTTTCCTCATCTGTAAAGTGATCTGGAGAAGGAAATGGCAAACCACCAGTACGTATTCCAAGACAACCCCAGACATGACTAAAATTGCTGAACAACATCATAGAAAGCAAAAAAGGAAAAAAAGGAATCTGATTACACTGGAAGCAGGAACAATTTGACATCTCTATCTGTTCTGTAATTGTTATTTCAATAGCAGAGGCACCCTGGGGCACTTGGCAATATTGCTATATCTGAGGATGGCCTGGCCACACCAGGAGGTTCATCTTTATTTTTTTCTCCCAATTACTTGCATTATTATATACCTCAACCATATTTTGGGCCTCATAAATAAAAAGTTCCAGCACAAGCGCCTAGGGACAGATCAAAATGAATGTACTGGTACCCAAAGGTTGTGGCTTACAACAACAGTCTGTTGTAATTACGATAGATGGTGTTAATGAACAAGGAAATGTGCAAGATAAAGGAATAGGGGAAATGAGGACCTGGTTTATCCACACCAGGCTTAATCAGTCCATTAAAAACTGATTGTTGTCATTAGAGGGGTAATGACCTTAATTCTGAAATCTGAAGATATTTAATAAAGGTTTTAGGCATCACATCTAGTTATATTTTTGCGAAACTTTTTCTCTGCCTTACCACATCTGGTTTTTGCAAACCTTTTGAAACGTTTTATTTACCTCACAGGTAAGCAGTCCCATCATCAGAGCCATTAAATTGTGCATCTTTGATACAAACTGAGAAGTTTTTTTCATATATGGTGAATTTAAACTCTCTTCTTCCAAAGGCGGGCAGTCCAGGAACAAATTTGAATGCATTGTCTTCATGTCCTGTGGTGGATACATTCAAATTTGTCTTGTTAAAAGCTGAGAATCAACCAAAAAAAGGGGGGTGCAGCTAGGTGGCACAGTGGATAGAGCACTGGCCCTGGAGTCAGGAGGACCTGAGTTCAAATGTGGCATCAGACACTTGACACTTACTAGCTGTGTGACCCTCGGCAAGTCACTTAACTCCATTGCTTAGCAAAAAACAAACAAACAAAAAAAACCCAACCCAAACAAACAAAACAAAACAAAAACAATAAGCAGAGAATCTGCCTTTTTTTTTAAATGAAAGTCCTAAATTTTAGAAAAGCAAATTACCTAAAATCACAGGTTTAAAAAAGAGAAACTAGAAGCAGCTTCTCTTTGGCAATGACATTTTTGGTTAGCCAGCAAAGATCAGAATTAAACTCCAGTCTTCTTTTTAAAAAAAAAAAAAAAGAACCAAAGATAAAATTGTAGAGTAGACTTCTAATAGAGCAAAGTTTCACTCATTCGAAACTGGTCACTTAACCCAGTTTGCCTCAGTTTCCTCATCTGTAAAGTGAGCTGGAGAAGGAAATGCCAGTTGGTATCCTTGCCCCAAAAAAACCCAGATGGGGTCATGAAGAGTCAAACATGACTGTAAAACAACTTAAAAACAACACTATTATTGAGACTCAGAAATGCTGGCCTGGTCTGGGATTATGGTACAAATTTTGGAGTAAAATTGAGTAATTTTAAGTCTGTTTTCATACTGAAATATCACAAGTAACAAGTATTTGGATACTGTATGTGTATCACATTACATATATGTATACATACACATATATCAATTTCATACTTATTTTTTTATTTTATTTTTACAATTTTACTTTTCCCAATTGCATATAAAAACAGTTTTTAACATTTTTTTTAAATTTGAGTTCCAAGTTCTCTCTCTTTTCTCTTTTCTCTCCTCCCTTTCTGAGACAGTAAGCAATTTGATATAGGTTATACGCGTGCAGTCTTGCAAAACATATTTCCATATTAATCATGTTGTGGAAGAAAACACAGACACCCTCTCAAACCTCCCTCCCACAAAAAATAAAGAAATATGAAAAATAGTATGCTTCCATCTGCATTCAGACTCCATCAGTTCTTTCTCTGATGGTAGATAGCATTTTTCATCAAGAGTCCTTTGGAATTATCTTGCATCATTGTATTGCTGAGAATAGCTAAGTCTTACTTAACATTTTAGAGAAGAAAATATTGCTAGCATCAACATTTTCTCACAAAACCCCTATTCACATTACATGGAACATCAAGATTCCACAGAACAGTTTGTGAAACATTAATCTATTTTTTAAAAAATTAAAAGTTGAACTGATGCCAGTTACTATAGATACTAAAAAGTAATAAAGTCATATGTGTACATATTAAACTATATCCATTTAGGGAGCTGGAACTGTAATTTTCCAATACAGATAAACAATTGGTCTTTAACTTATTATATTTTAATAGACTCACCAGTGGCATTGAGAGATTAAGCAACTTGCCCACCATCACACAGATGTATCAGGGGCAAAATTCGAACCCAGCCTTTCTGACTTTAAGGATTACCCTCTAACTATATTCTCTCTCTAATATAACCTGTGTGGTAGCTATGTAACAAGAATGATCAAGGAAATCCTCTAATCTGCTAGACTGAGGCCCTTTCCAACGAGCTTCAATGATTCGGACTTACCAAAGTTTTTGGTCATGTTTGATTCTTCTGTGGTTATGAAGACCCAGCCACCATATACCACAAATCATCTCCAAAATTCTAAAAATTAGGGTTTGGTTTGCAATCTTTCATGGTATTGTAATTCTGAAAAACTGATACAGGGTGATAATTTCATTTTACCTTGCTGACAACTTTGTCACTTAATTTTACTATTTAAAAAAATATAGTTGTCCTGTGTATGTGCTGCTCTTACCCATCCCCGCCACCTTAGGACAGAAGTTCCCATGAAAGCAGGGATTGCTTCCTTTCTGTCTTTGTGATCCTAGGGCCAAAGCAGCATTCCTTGCTCATTGTTGGTGTTTAATAAAGGCTTTGTAAGTCAATTTGACAAGGTAGAAAAGGGATTAAAAAAACCAGAACTACTGGTTTAAAATAACAGCAGCAACAACAACAAACTTTCTCAAAAGCATTGTTAAGTTACTGCTGGTGAATCAATCACAAAAATTCCAATTTCTTCGGGTTAAACATAATATCTATGGAAATAAGCTTGAAATCACAAAAGGCTCTTCTATTAACATAGATCCCCACATACCTGAAGAAAACTCCCCAACATGTGTATCTTCCACTCTAACTCTCTTTCTTTTTTCTTTAACACTTCTTTCTGCAAACAAATGCTTCTGTTAGTTTCATGTAATTTGGTATTACTGATATGTTCTAGATTTTTTCCAGAAATTAAAAGTCAAATTCATTGTTCTACAGTTTGCAGAATCTTCTGACATTATCAGAAGAAATCCAGGATTTTATTAGAGCTAAGACACAGAAGTCCTATTTCTGAAAAAGACTGAGACTATCATGTATTTTGCCTACAATAGAATCTTCCATAGGTCACAATCAAAGGACTTGTAGAGGGTTGAAGTAGGTCTGAGGAGGAGAAGGACCAATTCTGGAATTAAAAATTCAAAGCCCAGAACTATGAAGCCATTTATATGAAACTACTCATATGAAAGGGATGTCACCTTTGTGACAGAACTTAAAAGAATAATCAGCTAGTATTCTGTGAGCCTCACAGTGAGGCTGGTATATTGCTATTAAAACTATAACATATAATCTTCCATCCACAAATAAAATCTTATATGATTGAAGCATGAATGACATCAAAATATGAGTAATCCTGGAACCTACTTCAATTTTGTGATAACCAGTAATGTTCCTGGAGGCTCTGATTACCTAGGACCAGTTGAAAACTTATGAATTTTGGCATTAGGGATTTTGAATTTATACCAATACCTTTGCAGTGTCTGACTTCCTTATTTCTTCCAGCTGTTGCTTCCACTGAACTGTTTCAAGTTTCCAGTTATAATTTTGCTCCTCACTCTTTGCAATTTGCTGCTGAAATTTTGCATTCTCATTTTTTACCTCATTGATCTGCTGCTGTAACTTGGCATTCTTAGCCCTTTCATTTTCAGAACTTGACTGCAGAACTTTAACTTGAGCAACCAATTTGCTAAGATTGGACTTCAACTCCTGCCTTTCCTGCATCTTGACTTCCTCATGTCTCTGGAATTCTACTTGGAGTAACTCCTTAGTGGAAGCTGCTTTCCCCAGTTCTCCTCTGAGATTTTGTAACCTCCCCATTTCTTCCTCTTTCTTGTTTAAGGTTTTGTCCATTTCTAAAAAATAATTTATGGACTTATTCTTGAGCTCTAATTCATTCTTATGCTTCTCCTGAAGAAGAACATAATCTTTTTTCATCTTTTTAAGCTCTAATATTAAAGTGTTCTTTTCAAGCATAGATTCCTCAAGCTGTTTTTGCATTTCAGTTGAAACCTCCTGCAAATTCTTCAAGGAGTTTTCAATATCATTTTTTTCTAGGATAACCCTGTACTTGTCTTCAATAAGCTCTTCAACATTCTTCTTCAGTTTATTTATAATGTCAACAAATACCTGTTGTTTGGAAATTTTCGTTTGTAGCTCTTTGACATTATTCTCTAAATGGAAGTTACTATACTCCAATTCTGTTATTTTACTTTGCTGCTTATGGTTATCTTGTTTTAATGTATTTATGACATCATTCAAATCTATATGCTCTTCCTCCAGGGGCTGCAAACTTTCAAAACCATGCTTTGTATCTTGGGGATTGAAATCCTCTATAGATGCCTCACTCCAAGTACTGGTGTCAGTGAAATAAGTTAGGAAATTCTCATGGCGGTTTGGAGACTCTGTCCTTACTTCCTTTGGACAAATGTTTGACTTCTCAGGAGCCTCCCTAGCATTCTGGGATTCCTTTGGGCTAACAAAAACCTATTTTTAATTGAGAAAGCAAGAGAGAAAAAGAGACAATCACTATTTCCATTAATATCCTACTACTCAGAATGGAAGAATTTTAACTGAAAGATCATTAGTTTTATGCTTTAGTGCCCAGATGTTTGTCACTGTCATTTAATATGAAGAGACAGTGTGCATATAGCACTTGTTCTTTCATCTCTAAGATCTAGGACACCAACATCGCCTGAAGAGTAAAATCATCTGTTTTACAGGAGCACCATTAACTGTTTGTATCCCCATAATTTCTCAGGACATGCAGTCTTTCAGACCCTATGCTGTTTTTCTTGTCTTCAAAAAAATTAAATCAATCTACTAATAAACATACAACCATGAGAAAAGTTATCTTTTATATGTGGAAGCATTAAAAACCTGCCAATTAAAACTACTGGATCCCTATGTCAGGATGATATTACTACTCTGATTTTATCATTATTAGAGTGTCCCAGGATTTGAAGACTTTGAAAGACTGTAGGTACAACATAAAATATACAAATAAAAGTGGCATATGCTGATTTTGTCTACAACAAAAAGAAGTAGAGGAAAAGAAGTTGTAGACCTTTGTTAAGAGATTTATGAAGACTAATAGTGCTATATGACTGTATAGTGTTTGGTGGGTCCAAGCTCTTTATTTAACAAATGAGGAGACAGATATTAAGAGACAGTTAATTCTAAAGGGATTAACACTAGCTCTGGGCAGGCACATGCAAGAATCTCAGTTTTACAGAATTTAACAAAAATGACCTTTAAAAAAATACACCACTGGGAGAAAAAAAAAGTTAAAGCTTTCCTGACATTTGGTGAAAATGAAAGACTGCTCACACTTCTAATCTGAAGGCAATAGCTGTGATTTTCCCCATCTAACTGATGACAGACAATGTTACTCATTCTGTTTTTTTGGTCACATCTATTTGACTGCGTCAGATCTTGAACAAAGTCTTTGTTTTTGTCCAGAGGGCATGGCAGATGTAGAACGCTGGTCTCTTCTGAGTTCTTTGTGTGTTCAACATATTGCTCAGCATCAATCTGTTGGGATGGATGGATAAATTAGGAACTTGCATGGGAAAAAAACCCACAACAAAACAGCTATTTTGCCTGGCATATAGGTAGGGTAACAAATAAACCTTTTTATTCTTTTCTTTAAAGATGTTGGCTTACTTAAAGCAATTAAATTTCTCCCTGTTAAGTGCTACATTTTATAAATTTCACTACAAACTCTAGGAAGATGCATTTTTTTTCTTCTCTTTCTTCTCCAGGTACCCTGAGACATCAATACACACTAATTACTACTACTACTCCTACAACTACTACAATTACTAATAATAATGAGGTTGCCCCTACATTGAATCTTGATTTTGGTGGCATTATGCCATCCAGTTGGGGGATAAGATATCCATTCTGAAATGCTAAGACTTCAGAAAGGCCATTTCACTTTACACAAATGTATCCCCTCCAGAATTATCCTCTTTTCTAATATCTTAAGATATCCAATGCTAACTTAGTCCAATTTAATCAAAGTACCAGTTTCCACTGCACAGTACCATATACAAACAACTATGTAAATTAGCATGGCAACATAGAACTAAGGCTGAAAAGAAACTTAATTGAGTCTAAAACAAATGAAGCTGTAGACAAGAAAGAAGCTTGATAAAAATAGAAAATACTATCCATAACACTAGTAGGAATATTCACTGTCATCATTATGACATTGAAAGGGGTGGTGAACATCTGGGATTTGTTAGGAGAATAAGTTCCATACAGGAAGAGAGAATCTGGGTCTGTGTCTAAGACATTTTTTTTTTACTGTTCCTATGATTGTAATGACGTAATACTACTTGTAGTGTTGTACTGCAAACCTATACATAAAACAAATATTTTAATAACTGAAGGCTTTTATTTTCTACATCATTAATCTTATCACCTTGGCTTTGTGAATAGCAGTCTGGTCAAACCCTTCTTTAAGAAGTGATTCCCCAATCTCTGTGCACATGTTATTCTCATACAAGAAGCTCGAGGTCTTCTTGAGGTTTAGGGAGGTGTCCTTAATAATGCTGTCAAGCAATGACTCTTCTGTTATTGGGAGAGGCAATGCAAATTCATCGTAGACCCTCGGAAGTGAACTTTTGGGAGAGTTTACCAGAGTTTCTTCAGTATGCACATCTTTTTTGATAAAAAATGTCAATGTGTCATTTTGCTCTGGATTTTTTTCCTTTTTTACACTACTGTGATTGGCAGAACCATAAAATGGTCTTTGTGGTGCTGCTTGCCTTGTAGAGGATAACTGTTCACCATCATTTTGAAATGGTTCATTTTCATCATTTAGAGCTGCTGTTCGGTGGAATTTGCAAACAGATTCAAATCCTCCTTGAGTGACAGTCTTGGTATTGTTTGGATATATTAGTACAGTCTGTAAACGGTCCTCAAGACTGTTATCTTATAGAAATGGGAAAAAAAGAGGGAAAAAATCAGAATCATCTAATTTTATTGAAATAGATTTTTTAAAAGAACTTCATTGTCATTGTTGTTCTGCACATTCATGTACTGCTTCACAGTTTACAAAGTGCTTTCCTCACAACAATACTGTTGAGATAAGTAGGGCTAGATTATCCTATGTTAACTCATATCAAGGAATAAAATTTGCTAGGGGTTTGAGAGCTACGTATTATTTCAGCTAAACTAACAGACAATTTCTTTTATTCGATAGTTTTTTTTAGTGCAGTTCAAAATGTCAAATTGACATGTCACAGAAGAGCTGGCCACATTAGACAGATCAAATTCCATCAGACACAAAACAAGGATTATGTGTGTTCTTTTTTGTCATTTTGGAGTTCTGTTGCTTGAATAAGTGGACCAATGGCTTTGGCTTAATAAATCTTTTTATGATACTGTCAACCTTACAGAGTTTGTTCTAAGAAAGACAAACAAAATTAGGCTATATGTGGCATGTTTATTTCTCTCAAAGCAGGAGACATGCATGCATAACATGCATGGGAGTTCATTAGAAAATGAACTCAAAGAAAGGCCAGTTGAAGGACAGTATATACCTTTAGAGCAGGGAAGTGTCCCCCTTCTTTATTTAGGATGCCTGTGTCAGTCAAAATTCTAGTATCAAGAGGTTACAAGAAGATGCCCCCCTGAAGACTAGGTTCTGTCATTCACAAACAATGAAATGTCATAACAAAAAAAGAATGTCATAACAGGATCGTGTCCATAAAACATCAAGATAAGAAATGTGCCATTAATCAAGATAATATCTGGTTCAAGGCTCCTGGTCCTTAACAGTCATAAACGGAAGAATTTTCCCAGTCAGCTTCATCCAATAGTGTGGATGCCGACATAACAAGGAGCATTTTGGGTTCACTCAGAAAGCATGCAAAGGATTATGGTCTGTTAACTGAGTGGGCCAAAATGCCTTTCTCCTGACTGGCCAATCCAAATGTTTAGCTTTGTTTCAGGTGATGGAGGGCTCAATACAGTGAACTTGTAAACCACATTGATTGTTGAACTTTTAGGTAAATAGATTAGTGAGGACAAAGAATCTGAGAATATGATCCCTAGTGGCTGTCCCCACTGAATTCCCTGCTTGCTGTACCAAGATGGTGAATTTGGTGGCTGGATAAACTAGTGAGGACAAGGGGAAAAGCATGTATGGTTCCCAACTTCTACTTCCTGTTTGCAGAGTACAAAGCCCTGTCTTCCACTAGACAACTGTTTCTATTAATCAGAGCTATTTAATAAGTCACAGTGGTTATTGTTATTCTCCCTTTTTGGATAACAATTCATCAGGATTACTTGACCTGCTAAAAGACATGTGGTTTCCTCAAGTCTGGGTGGTCTCACCTAAGGACTCTCTAGAAAAGCTAATTTGCCAGAGGTCTCAGAGTTCACTGTGTAGTCAATGACCAGGTGCAAGTGATTATTTTCTCCTTCTAGAGAACTTACTACTTCACCTGAGCAGCAGCCACTGTCAGTGCAGCGCAGGGAGAACAAGGATCACAAGCATTACATCTGGCATAGGCTTTTGAGATCCCCCTGAGGTGTGTAGCTTAAAGGTACGATGTGTTTACTGCTTCTCTACTCACTTGTCTCCTGAAAGTAAGACAGAATTCTTAAAGTAAGAGTGAGCCCCATTACGGTCTGGATTTACCTCTGCAGTTCTAATACTGTAACATAATTATAAGCACCAAAGGTAGCATTGGCAGCTATAGACAATGGATAACAAAATAAATAATTGCACTGGAATGTTCATGTTAATTTCTGACAAGAGATTTAAGAGTCACATCTCTATCACCTACTAAACTGTAGACAGCTTTTATTTTATTGGGACTTTGTCAGGAAAACTGATAATTGCCAATCAAGGATAGGAGACAAAATCATCTTAAAAGAAAAAGCAGGGAAGTCAGCTGCATACAAAGGCTCCAGCCAGGAACCCCTCCAATTAGAATCCCGAGGGAGCCAGACGGTTTTCCATAGCAGTTAGCCAAGAGAGAGCTGCCAGTAAGAATTAAGGAAGGCTAAGGATCATGTTTCCACCAAGTATGGAGGATAAATGAAATTTTACATTAACCTGCAGAGAATTAACTATGTTTATGTTTCTGCCAGTACCAAGAAACAGTTATATATGCATGAAATAGAAGTCTGTGTCCCTTAAAGGGTTGAAAAAAAGATCTTTTCATTTTCCAGGTTATCAGAGAGAATAAAATCATGATTGAAAGAATAGAAGAAGGGCTTATTAATTTGCAGGAGACAGTAAAATCAGGTAATAAAAAATCTGTGGTCTTAAATATATCTAGGTAAATGCATGAGGCATGTAAATAGGGCAGCTAGGTGGTGAGGTGGATAAAGTGCCAGGCCTGGAGTCAGGAAGACTCATCTTCCTGAGTTCATATCTGGCCTCAGACAGTTACTAGCTGTGTGACCTTGGGTAAGTCACTTAACCCTATTTGTTCCAGTTTCCTCATTTGTAAAAATGAGCTGGAGTAGGAAATGGCAAACCTCTCCAGTATCTTTGCCAAGAAAACCCCAAATGGGGTCATGAAGAGTTGGACATAACTGAACAGCAACCACCACCACATAAATAGTGGAATAAACTTTCTTATACAAGGAGACAAATTTGACTTCATAAACATTGTTGAGACTTAGTGAGATGTGATTCAAGCATTATTAAGCACATACATACTATGTGCTAAGCTGGGGATAAAAAGCCAATTTGGAAGCTCTGTGGAAGATAGGTTAGAAAAGAAAGAGAATGAAGGCAGGGGCTACTGTATTCAGTTAGAGGATAGGTGATGAGGTCTTGAACTAGGATGGTTGTGACGTTAGTGAGGAGAAGGAGACAGACTGAAGGGGCAGAGACAGAGTCAACAAGGCTTAGCAACTGATTGGGCACAGAGTCAGGGAGAATGAACTATTACTGTGGAATTTGTTGTTATTTAGTCATTCTGCTGTGTCTGGCTCTTCATGACCCCTTGTGGACTTTTCTTGGCAAAGATATTGGAATGGTTGGCCATTTCCTTCTCCAGCTCATTTTTACAGATTAGGAAACTGAGGCAAACAGGTTAAGTGACTTGCCCAGGGTTAGAGTTAGTAGACAGCTAGTAAGTGTCCGAGGCCAGATTTGAACTCAGGAAGATGAGTCTTCCTGACTGCAGGCCCAGCACTCTATTGCCTATTACTGTGGAGGAGTATACCACATGAAAAACAGAACAGATAAAGTAGGAGAAGAGCAACATTGAAAATTATGAAGATATACTCGATTGAAGAAAACCAGGACCCAGAGAGAGGAAAGTATATTGCTTAGGTAAAGATCAGTGGAAATAGATGTTGAAGAAGTGTTACAGGAGTATATTATAGGCCACACACAAAGAACAAGAAGGAGTTTTGAAATAAGTCACAAAACTGGCATTGAAACATAATACGATAATAATGGGATACTTCAGTCATATAGACATCTTTTGGAGTTCTCTATCAATGGAAGGACAGCTGACAAAATTTTGAATTTCCATAATAATTTTATTCTCCAAAAAGTAAAGGAAGAGACAAGTGACAAGAGCTAACAATTTGGACTTGATTATAACCAACGAGGAAAATGGCTGCTTTAGTAGAAGTGATGGAAATCTTGGGCAAGGTGTTGGGGAGAGTGGAAGAAAGTGACCACTTCATTCTAGGATTTATGGGAAGAGGAGAGTGAAACCAGACATGCAGGGTAAACAGATTTCAAAGAATTAAGAGAAAGGATAGGTAGGATCTAATGGTCCCAAATTATACATCTCAAGTCATCCCAAGAGGAAGTGGGAAATTATTGAAAGAACTGGTACATATGATTGCTTGAGACTATTGGTAATCCTTAAAAGATCATTAAGAATGGAAGAGAGGACTATTAGTAATCTTTAAAAGATCATGAAAATGGAAGAGAGGGCATGACTGGAAAAGGGCAAATGTTCTGACTTCCAAAAAGGAAAAACTTGGAATCTGCAAACTATAAGTTGGTGAGCTTAATCTCAATTCCTGGAATAATTCTAGAATATGTTATTAATGAGATGATTTTAAAAGGAAAACAGTAATCCTTTAAAAAATATGGTATAACATTATAAGAAAAAAGGCAATGCTAGACTTAACCACATTACCTTTTGTGACAGAATTGTTAGATGAGTAGAAGAAGGGAATGAAGTAGCCATGGTATGCCTAGATTTTAGTAAAGCATTTGACAAAGTCTCTCATGCTATTCTAGTGGGCAACATGGAGAAATGTAGACAAGATAGAGTTACAGTAAGGTTTAATTATTAAGTGACTGAATGAATAGAACCAAAAGTCAATTTAGAAAAAGGACTAATGCAGTGACCTGGGGCCTGTTTAACATTTTTATCAATGACCAAAAGATTTGGATGAATAGATGGTCTGATTTTGAAATTTAGATTGTACGAATAGTTACCAAATTGGAAACAACTTATTTGGATCCAAACATTAGGACCCCATAATCTGAAAGGATCAAGACAGAAAAGAACAGTGGGTTAAATCTAATAAGATCATTTTAATAGAGAAAAGTATAAAGCTCTATGCTTGGATCCAACAACATACAAGATGGGAAAGGCATAGCTTGACAACAGGACATCTGAAAAAGACCTGAGGGTTTTAAATGAACTGCAAGCTTAATGAGTCACTAGTGACTGGCACATACTAAGTGCTTAATAAATGTTTATTGACTAATGACCGCCTGGCCAAAAAAGCTGATGTGAACACAGCCTACATTAAGATGCACAGCATCCATAAGTTGGGAGGTGATGGTGCTCTGTCCTGCTCAGATCATATGTGAACCACTGTTTCAAATTATGGTTGCCACATATGATGACATATCCAGAGAAGAGTGAGCAGGATGGAGAGGTAGTGGTATCAAAATCAGAAAAAGAGGCCACTTAAACTACATGCAAGGATCACTGCAGGCACATACTGACTTTGAAAACCACATATTAACATTATCTATGTTTTATTTATTTTATTAAATATTCCTAAATTACATTTTAATCTGGCTGAGGCAGTACTTGGGAGTGTTGCAGGCTATAATGCAGGCCACCACAACATTTCTGCTCTACAGTATGACATCATTTCCCACAAACTTGTACTCCTAGACTTGCCATGCCCTCTAGAATTTTATAATCCTGCAAGATGACATCATCTTTGAAACTCACTTTCTCTTCTATCCCTAAGGCCCCTCCCTCTTTCTGACTAGAGAGGGTGGAAGTTGAAAGTGGAGACTTCCTCCCAGATCCTTCATTTAAGGAGGGTACCCTAGGCAGCCACCATATCATCTCCACCCCTCTGGACAACATTCTGCCCTTCATCATACCCTTCACCCTCCATTTTTCTGCTTCTTTTTGTGTGTTGTCTTCTACCATTTGCTTTTCTTTGTATCCCTAGTGCTTAGCACAAGTGGTATATAGTAGGCATTTAGTACATGTTTACTAACTGATTGACAGGAGTAGTATTAACATGGTTGAAGGAGCTGGGAACTAAGAAGAAAAGATTCAGGGTGCACAGGATAGTGTCCTTCAAGTATTTAATAGGTGACCACATGGAAAAGAGATCTACCTTATTTGTCTAGGACCTAGAGGAAAGAACTAAGAGTAATGAAAGAAATTGTAGAGGTCCAGATTTTATACAAAAAAGAATTCCAACAATTAGAGCTATCTACATTATAATGGACTGCCACTGGAAGGTGGTAGGTTCCCCCTTATTAAGAGTTATTGCAGCATAGGTTTGATAACAACTTGACAGGATGGTGTAGAGGGAATTTTTGTTCACATGAGGGTTAGGTTAGATGACTTCTGATGTTCTTTCCAACTCTGAGATTCTAAGCCTCCTTTGACTGTTTTATTTCTAACCCCACCCCCATCCCCCAATTTAACTAAATCTATTCCTATAAACACAAGCTTTGTATATTAAAGACTTCCAACATAACCAGAGGTCCGATCAATATTCAACCCTGAAGTTGACTTATCCAACTCATCTCCTAGGCTTTTGCTTCATATCTATCAAAACACAGTCACATACACACACAGTTCTAACTCTAGAATGGTTCAGTCATCTGTTATTGGAAGATCCATATGTAAATCTTGACTCTCAAGCCAACACTTCACTTATATCCCAACAATGACATGTGCTATAAGAAATGAAAATTTGTGGATGAGACCACATGAAAACACTACGTAATCCATACAGCCCTATACAAATATAAAGAATTGTAATTATTATGGCCAACGTATATCATGACATGACTAGAACCCAAATAGTGATAAATGATAAAATAGTGAAGAAAAATAAAAATGGAATAATTTCACTTGCCTATATAAAAAAGTAGGTAGAGGAAATGTTTCATTAAATCTATTAATGTCCTTTAAAACACTTAAAATACCATATTTGTGAGCTGTCTCAGGGTAAGGGACATCACAGTTTTTCTGCTTTTTATATCGTTACTGAAGATATACCTACCGTGTTTTAAGTTGTTTAGTGTGGCGTAATCATCTTTGTTAACTGTGTACGTGGGCTCTTTTTCCCTGTGTACTTTGCTTATTTCATCCTATAAGCACAAAAAAAAATAGGAACTAATAAAGATTCTTCCAAAAATTAAAAAAAAAAAGAAAACACTGTCATCACTATCACAACCTGAAAACACCTATAGTTTTTCTGTTTTCAGCCTGTAGGAAATTAGAGTGAGTTATCCCTACAGGAGAGTGGGTTATCCAGGCCATTGCCATAAGATGACATATCTTAACTCCCTTTTAACAGAGCCAATTCTATGTAAGTTGTGACATTAAACAGGAAAATCCAATGCCAAAGACCTCGATATACTATTAATTTAGTTCTGAGGTCAAACGATGTGCCCAAGAACACTGATATAGCAAAGTACAACGAACAATAAAAATGTCTTTATATACTATGGCAAATTGTCCTTTTTCTCCAACATCAGCAATTTAATCGGTGAGAGGCTACATGATACCACTGGGGAAAACTCCCCTGAACTTGGAGCTGGAAGACCTGAGTTCAAATTCCACCTCTGCCACTTATTAGGCATGTGTCTTTGGGCAAGACACTTAAAAGTCAGCTTTCTCTTCTAAGGTATATCAATGAGGATAATAATAACAACTGTAGTACCCACTTCACGGGGTTGCTATACGTAAAATGTCATGCTATTAAAACTATAAAGTGCTACATAAATGAGAGACAGAAAGACTATTCTAAAGTAAAACCTGATTTTACTGCATCAAAATTTGTGAAATTAATACAAGTACTGGACTCTGGATTTTTAATACTCTCCATGAAGAAAGCAAGTCAATATCATAAGACTAAAGGAGAAATGTGTAAAGTATTTGAAAGGAAACTTTTTGGGGCACCCTAATATACTTTAAAAACAATAATTCATTTATTAAAATTGATATGCTGGTTATATATGAGAATTTTGTTTATTAAAGTAGTCTACTAAGGTCTTATAGTAGGTAATATTGTTTTAGCCTAGTTTTAGTTAACTGTTGTTTTTCAGTCATTTTTTATTCCTGTCTAACTCTTTGTGACCCCTATAGGGTCTTCTTGGCATGGTTTGCCATTTCCTTCTCCAGCTCATTCTACAGATGAGGAAATTGAGGCAAACAGGGTTAAGTGACTTGCCCAGGGTCACATGGCTAGTAAATATGTGAGGTCAGATTTGAATTCTGTAAGGTGAGTCTTCTTGACTCCAGGCCCAGGACTCTCTCCACTATGCCACCTAGCTGTCCCACAACATAACAACAATAGTCTAGTGCTAGTTAACTGCCGTTACTTAGCATTATAAACGCTCATCATATTTTTTAAGATTTACAATTTAGGCTCCATCCTAATTTAGGACAGTGTTCCTCCAAATGAGACCAAATCAGTAATATCTTACCATGTCTTATTTTACAAAATATGGCAAGCATAATAGATGTTCAGCATTGACTTGTAAAGGCCTGCTTTACACATATTGTTGGGAAATCTATTTCTCAGGGTTTTCTTCTTTTAGTTAAAATCTATATTTTTGTTCTTTAGGCCACTAAGTTCATCACACCTAAATACTTCAAGGATTCCTGATCTGTTGGTTTAGATGTCCCTCCAACGAGGCAGACTATAACATTTCCACAATTCTGTAGATCATTTTTGAGAGTTGCTATGGACCAGAAATAGATCACCCTGGTGATGGGCTTCTCCAGTCTTAGCTAGGCTGGTCCTCAGGCAACAAGACATACATAAAATCTATTAATGGGCCTAGAAGCCTTCCTAGCTAGGTAGGATCTGTCAGAGCTTGCGTTCTGCTGGCAGGGCTTACATGAGCTGATGTAGACAAAGTGCTTTGTAATCTTAAAGGGTTATATAAATGTCAGCTGTTATTAGTAGTCTTCAAGAACTCAGGTCACTTCCATACTAGGATGAGACACTGGAGAGGACCTCAGTTGAGGTGACTCTGGGTTTTCAAGGCTTAGCTAGCAGGGCATGAGTTCCTTATAATGAAAAATGACTGAATTATGAAATCCAGGAGACCTCCTCTAGACAGGAAAGGGCCTTTATAAATTCAAGTCTAGTACACTAGGCCTTTGAACTTGACACTTCTACCTGACAACCAAACATGTTCTGAATAACATTCATGAAGCTCTTTTGACTTTAAATTAAGTTTTTTTGAATGAGAAAATTCAAACTAGAAACTAGTAATTTCCTGAAGGATAAAAATGGAATCATTTATATTTAGAATATTCCTAGCATTAGAATGGAAAAATTTCTATATTAATTATGGTTTAGACTGGATAATTTATTATTTATTTAGCTTTTGTCTCTTCCAACTCTTAAGATGCTATACTGTAAATGAATGGTGAACTCATCAATGTACATATTGATGATGAATTCTGCAGTGAGACAGAATACTGGGCTTAGAGTCAGGATACAACCGCGTGAAAATCTTGATTCTTAACACTTAAAAAGCTGTGTGGTCACTGATTCTCAGTTTCCTTATCTGTAAAACGCAGATAATACTATCTGTAGTACCTGTTGCACAGGATTATTGTGAGGAGCAAGTGAGATAATGTTTGTGAAATGATGTGTAAGTCTTAAAGTCCTACACTAATGTCAGCTATTATTATTACCCTCCTTCTGCCACTAACTAGCAGTGTGAATGAACATGGGCAAGTCACTTACTCTGACACTCAGACTTATCCCTCCACTCCCTTTCTTTTCTTCTATTATTTCTTTGAGGATGATTTCATATGGAAAACAGCAGTAAGTACAGTATGAATTTGCATCCACCAGAATTCATGAGTGATGCACACCTGAGTTAAGTCTGAAGTTATAGAACTACTTTCCAAACACAAATGAGAATCTGGGTGGGTTAAGTCTTCAGAATGAGTGTGGATATTAGTGGCATCAGCTTCTGATGGGATTTCTAGTTGTTCATTAGGAGTATTCTCTTCAAAATACTCATTCTCTGTAGGTAATGACCAGTATTTTCGATTGTCATCATTTCTAAGTGTCGAATGATGGAAGGCCCCTAAAGTAACATGACATAATATTTTAATGCCAACTAGCATTAGCATGTACTAAATACAGTAGAAAGAACCAATCTTCCCATCTTTCCCACACATTAAGAAAGTAGCAAATGGCACATTTTTTGGTATGTCATTTAGACAAAGTAGTTGACAAAAATGCTATTTCTAAAAGAATCAGTTTCTCTCTTTACATACATATGTATATATAGCCTAGTAATCACATATGGTGGTAAAATTTGTTTGGAAACAATCTTCAAACGAGACTACAGGCACAGCAATTAGTCAAGTGGTTCCTGTAAGTCTTGGGGGCTTTGGAAGTTGAAGGCAAGCCAAAAGACCAGACCAGATATCACATAGTAGAGGTCTCTATTCTGCCACTTCAACAAAGGATATTTACAGAATCTTATCAGAGACATCTAAGGCTCCATAAAATACTAATTCTGGCTGTTTCCATTTAGACACACCTCAAACTCAGTGTGTCCAAAACCACCTTGCCATTTCTCACCTAAAAATGGCACTTATCCCTCCCAACTTCCCTGTCTTCATAAGTGGCAATACCATTCTTCCAGTTACCTGGACTTGAAAACTTAAGAGACTGCGTTGACTCATTCCTCTTTTCCATTACACATATCTGTTGTTTGTTGTTCACTTGTTTCAGTCATGTCCAACTCTTTGTGATCTCATCTGAGGTTTTCTTGGCAAAGATACTAAAGTGGTTTGCCATTTTCTTTTCCAGCTCATTTTACAGATAAGGAAACTGAGGCAAAGAGGGTTAAGTGACTTGCCCAGGGTCACAAACCTAGTAACTACATGAGGCCAGATCTGAACTCTGGAAAATGAGTCTTTCTGACTCCAGGCCTGACACTCTATCCACTGCACCACCTAGCACATTTATTCAGTCACAAATTCCTATTAGCTGTTCTTTCAAAATATAACTATGCCTCTTTAGTCTCCCTTCCATCCCCCACATCTAGAGTGTAATCATCATATGCCCAGATTACTGCTACAGAGTACCTTAATTTAGGTTTCCCTGCCATCCCAATCTGTCCCACACACTATTTCCACATTTGTCATTGTATTCTAAGAGGGGGTAGACTAGGCCTATGGGGGCAGTTCTTGGAGCATGAACAGATAATCTTGGCCTACTTTCAGGCCTTGAGGAACTTTGGGAACCTACTTCTACCAGGATAGGCCAGTTTACTCCTATCACACTTAAATACCACTTGATAGGTGGTATTATTATTCCCTACTCAAAAGCTGACAGTGGCTTCTGATTTCCTACCATGGCACCATCTATCTCCCTGGCCTGGTTGTTAAGCCCTCCTAGCTGGCTAACTTTACTTTTTATTATGCCTCAACACATGTCTCTGCTCTTTACAAAAGAGCTTCCTTGGTGTTCTATTAATAGAATATGTCTTGGTCATCCTTGCCTCCAGGACTTTCTTAGCTCGTGTTATAGAATATCCTAGAAGAGTCTCTTCTTTTTCACATGTCCATTTCTTACAGCCTATTTCTTTCTCTTTTATGAACACTTTGTTGCCTATTTTACTTCTTCCTTAAGTCTTCTGCCTCAGGAATTTTATCATATGTATGCTCTGTGCCACACAATCAAAAGGTTAATTATATACTATTTTATACTGGTCAGAGTCAAAGTTGGAAAGTATCTCAGTGGCCATCAAGTTCAATCTATGAATGATAATAGCTTTTAATAAATAAATGCATTTCTATAGAGTACTTTAAGTTTTGCAAAGCTCTTCACAAATCTTTCCCTATTTTATTCTCACAGTAATCCTGGGAGGTTGGTGCTATTATTATTCCGATAGATGAAGAAAATGAGGCAGACAAAAGTAAAGTGATTTGTTCAGGGTCGAACAGTTTGTAAATGCCTGAGGCTAGATTTGAACTCTAGTCTTCCTGACTCCAGGTCCAGCTTTCTATCCAAAAACAAACACCCTGATGCATTTGACAAGTGGTCATTTAATCTTTGCTTGAAGACCGCAAAGAAGGGGGGACGCATCATCTCAAGACAGCCCAT